CCCCAAAACCCCAAAACCCCTAAATGTGAAGAATTGAGGATTTAAGTAAAGAGTTTATATTATTATTGATAAATTAATTATATTAGCAAAATGTAACAATAGCATCATAATAATGATAGTCTTACCCGTAAATCTAACACCTAGTTTCAACAGATAAACCAGCAATTAAGCATAAATAGACTTATCCATAACAACAATCCAGCAGCTTCTGTTAATTACTAGCATCAATCAGTGCAACATTAGCTTTCTTTTCTAGGGGATGGTAAATATTATTATAATAAAATTGATAGAATTTTCATAAAGAGTTGAGTATTAAGAAATTCCATAAAATGAGGCAAACTCTAGAAGCTCTGGAAATGGAAGATACTCTCACAATGTTGAATAAACTACTTGTAAACTAAAATCTTATATAAGTTTTACCTTTTAGAACCCTAAATTAGATTAGAATACATGAGTCACGATTATGCTTAGTTTTCAAATTAAAATTCATAAAGATAATAGATTGAAGAATAGAAGGAAATGATAAATCACAGGTAAAATTTGTAAAATATGCAAAGTGGAATAAGTAGTCTATTAGCCAGCAATGGCCATCATGTTGAAAAAATATCCCCATTAAAGTATTAAGCAGATCGCGGAGGTAATTTAATTCGATAATGACTAATCAGAATTTAGATGAATACTTTGACCAGAATTAGCTTCATTATAATGCATCATTTTAGGATGACAATGTTTTGAGCAATGACAATTAATCAAACAAAGACGTAGTTGGCACTTATGAAAGCAATAATCCCATAGAAAAAATCAATTATAAGTATACTAGCAATTCCTAGCTATTTGTAATATAAAATCACAACTAAAGGGACTGTGCTTCAAAAATTAAAACAGAAAATAGAAATAATAATAGTATAATAAACTCAATTGAGGACGATGAGGAAAATAATAATCCAATTGAGGATAATAATAATCATAATACCAATTTCAATATTAATGATGATTACAACTCGTTATAATAGCAGGAATCTGTCAACACAAGTAATTAACTAATTTAAATAGAGGATCATCGTGACTAGTTGTTGAATGCCAATCCAAGAGATAGCAATAATAGATAAATTCCTAGCCATAATGTTGATGTAAACGCAGAAGAAGAGAGTGAAGAAGATAAAGATGATTTTAATGATAATAATGGGAATATTAGTGGAGAAAACAGAGTTGAGATGCTTTTAAATGAACTGAGAAGTGAAGTATCCGATGAAGATTCAATTCAAAGATAGCATTTTCAGAGATAATAGCAATAAATAATCAGCAATTAGATATAAGATGTTGGAAGAGTGAACCATCAGAACATCTTAGATTATTTTGCTATGAGAGAGGGTTCTACAACTGATTAATTAATAGAGGAATTTATGATTTACTTTTAATATCTTATAAAGCAAGAAAGAAATTCTTTAAAAGAAGAAAAACTGGTCATTACTTAGGAAAAATTAGATTTCTTAAGAGAGAAAAAGTAATAATACGAAGACTTAAATTAAGAGAAAAGAAAGTGGCATGATAATAAAAATAAAATTGATGATATGTATCAGCCATTAGAAAATATTGTTGATTTAGATATTGGAGGTACTCATAAAATTACGACTACTAAGTCAACTTTATGTGCAGCAAAGGATTCTACCTTAGCAGCAATGTTTAGTGGTAGACATAAATTATCAATACATAATGGGAGAGTATTCATAGATAGGGATGGGGACACATTTTGCTAAGTTATTAATTATTTAAGAAACGGGAAGATTCCAATATTTGAATCAAAGATTAAAGAGAATTTATTTTTCGAGGAGCTAGATTATTGGTCAATACCCTTAAATTTTAATTGTGGCTAAAATGATAATAGTGAGAAGTAATCTTTTGATTCTAGCTGGTGTGCAAACACTCTAGAACTTTCAGAAGATAAGAAAACTCTAAAGAAAAATAGCACTTAACACGGAATAGTATTCTGCTGTCAGCCTCTGGATATTTACAATCCTTATGTCGAATTTAAGATTAAAATAGATACAGTCTTCAAGGGTAAAAGTCACCTGTTTTGTGGATTAGTTGATAGATCAAAGTATAGACCTGAGTATCTAAGTAAGATTTTTCAATATTAATGACTAACTAACTTATAGCTTCTACTTTTTGGAGAGATGCCCCCAGTAGTATGTACTGGGATGTTTGGAATACAAAACTAATAAAGACAGATGACAGAGGCCATTAAATTGGCGGCGTATTTGGCTATGGATGTTCATGTGAAGATAATATTACTAAAATTGGTATTCAGTATGATGCCAAGAATAGAAGTGTGTCTTATTTTAAAAATGGAATATGCTAAGGTGTAGCTTTTACAAATGTCATGAGCGGCTTTTATCCAAGTCTTGATGTTTGGTTTTAGTGCGGAGAAATAGAAATCTTGCCTGATAGAGCTCCTTCTTAAAAAGAAGCTTAGAGATCTTGACATAATCAAATATTGACTATTTTAATATATATTCTGCGAAGATATTACATTTAACTTTCAATACTTAAAATCAATATTCTAATCTGGGGTTTTGGGGTTTTGGGGTTTTGGGGAGATCGGAAGAGCACACG